CCTCTGTCCCCCCCCCTCTGTCCCCCCTGTGTGTTTCAGGCTGGTTACAGAGTCTGGAGCAGTTCTGGGTGGCAGACCTGACCTTCTCCACCACCCTGCTGGGACAGTTCCTGGAGGATATGGAAGCATATGCAGAGGTGACGTTAAAGCATTACATGAAGCTCCTGGACAAAATGCTGTTCTGCCAGTTAGATACTCTACTGTTGTGAAGCACTTTTTATTGCTGTATGGTTTATTGTTTTATAGGCAAATACAAATTGTAATTTGAGACAAATGTATCAATATTCTCTAACCTATAATTGTATAGGTATTTATGGGTTTTAGGATTAATTTCTGCACCACTTTATTGCCTCTGTGAATAAGTCTTGTTAAAGTGATATTCTGGTGTAAAAGCTGTACATCCTGCCAGTTGGAGTTGATAAAGAGTTTGACTGAGTGTGTGTGCTCTGTTCAGGATCTGAACCATGTGATGTCAGGGGAGGTGCTGGATGAAGACATCCCCCCTCCCTCAGTGTCCCTGCCAAAACTGGCAGCTCTGCTGAGGGTCTTCAGTACGGTGGTCCGCAGCATCGGAGAGAGATTCAGTCCCTTCAGAGGACCCCCCATCAATGAGGTCTACGTCAACGATGTAAGAACTCCACCTCCAACAACCTGGGGGGGCAGAGTTAATATTATAAAAGATGTTCTGAAAAGCAGATTCAGTCGCATGAACGCATGTGTTTATCTCTATCATTTGCTACAGGTGACTTCTACATTTGTTATTAATGCGATATTTCAGAGTCATGGTATCTGAATCTGTTCTGTTTCCTCAGGTTCTGAGCCGGGTTCTGTCCTGTGTGTCGACGGCGAAGCAGGTCCAGTTCTCTGAGCCGGTCCTCACGGCGGGGAACGAGTGTGTGGGAGTGCTGCTGACCAGTGTGGAGCCCTACGGCCTGCTGATGGAGGCCATCCTCGCCTACGGCCTGGATCAGCTGGACTGCTGTCAGGCTTGTGGCCCTGACTACAACCTGGCAGTACTCAGCCTCGTCACCTTGGTAACGCCACTTTAAGAGTTTGATCACTCCGGTTTCACTTTGATCTGATTACACTGTTGTTTCACACTGAGCGAGTTTCATAAAGCTTATTTGTATTGACATTTTCAGTGTAGTTTTCCAGTCTATTTGTTGTGCTTGGAGTTGTACACCTATAAAGGTTTGTTTTGGTTCCGTTTACTGGGTTGTGTGGGTTGAATATTATTCCTCCCTACCAAACTGTAGCACTTTTGTTTGTTTTCCTTTTGATGTCATTTTGACTGTGCATTGTCTTTCAGATCATAGACCAGATCAACACGAGGCTGCCTGCGGCCTTCGTTGAGAAATTGTTGGCACCCGAGTCCCGTCTGCTGAAGCTGCGCTTCCATCGAGAGAAAGAGGTGAGCAATTTTGTGTTGCTGTGTCAAAACATGTGTGGGTGTGTAACATTATGGGCCATTGGTTTATTATTTCCATTTAGCTAATACGCTACGGAGCCACACATGTTGGGGTATCCAAACATTTCAGCCAGCCATATTGGAAAAAGCACGAGCATACATCTTTAACTGTTTTGGAAATGATGCAGTGATCTGCTCCCACTCCGACTCTTGAAATAAAGCTACCTCGTTCAGCTCGCCCTGTGGGTGTGACTTTCTTGCTGTCATAATCATTCATATCAATACATCCATGATTTAACGATTGCTATGAGCACAACATTATTTCTAGCCTCTTATTTTTGCTCTCAAACTGTGCATTCAACTTTAAAATGTACACATTTTAGATTGAGGATAACTGTATTTTTACATTTGACTGCAGAAAAATTTAATAATTCAATGTAACTTTTTTGTTTGTATATTCAGGGATGCCTTTTGGCGAATTTCGCCATTTTGAATCCAAAATAGGTCATTTGTGTGATTCATGTAGATCTGTAATAAAAATATTTTTGGGGTATGGGGGGGCTGGGACCCGGAGTAATCTGCGGCCGTGAGCTGTTATGTGCCATCATGACACGCATGGTGTTCTTTTTTATATATTATAATAAAGTGCGAGCTGTGTGCTTGAGTCTTCCTGCCTGTCGGCTCTGCTCATGGATGTATAATAAGGCTCTGCTGCTCCGACATGATGGTCTAGCTTCAGCAGCTACATTACCTACGGGTGCGTTCGTTAATATTAACTGTGCGGTCTGGAGTCACTGTGGCACGGACTGGACCGCTGGTGAACAGCTGTTAGAACGGGCCGTTCAGGTGTTCAGAGCAGAGCTCCCGTGTCGGGCAGAGCGTGATGTGCACTGAAACGTTTTTCTGTCGCAATATTATTGTTGAGCTAGCTAGCTAGCATACATTGTCACTATCTGCTAACGTTAGCTTTAGCCTTAGTTTTCTAATAGTTTTTTTCATAGGCTATAAACGGATGTGGTATATAAGTATAGATCTGGTACTAGAGTAAAAGTAGAAGTACTCAGATCTTGTACTTGAGTAAAAGTAGAAGTACTCAGATCTTGTACTTGAGTAAAAGTAGAAGTACTCAGATCTTGTACTTGAGTAAAAGCAGAAGTACCAGAATGTAGGAACAATCCTGCATTCAAAATGTTCCTCAAATAAAAGTACAAAAGTATTATCATCAAAATATAGTTAAAGTAGCGACAGTGAAAGTAGTCATTGTGCAGATTGGTCCATTTCCGATCCTTGTCACCTTTTTCATACCCGATGAGTTAGCATCCCTGATATTGTTTAGCCATTATTGGAATTTAGGGGCCCAAAGCAGAATAAATAGACCCAGAAGTGGATTACTGTAAGGGTGAGGGCTATTGTTTCATGGTTGAGGTTTGGTTGTAATAATTTGAAACAAAAGAAAGTGAAATAAAACACTAATGTCCCCACACATTTGATAAACCTGCATGTGGTTATTCCCCAGGTGATGTCAGCAGTTCTGGCTGTGTACAAGGCGCTGCTGAGTCTGAAGAACATTCCCACGCTGGAGGCAGCTTATAAGCTGGTTCTGGGGGAGATGGCCTGTGCCCTGTCCAGCCTGACGGGGACCCTGGAGCCCAGTGAGAGTGCCCCGGCCCCCAGCAGCATTTGTCCCAGCATCCAGCACCCCACTTTTGCTTCCCTCACCCTACCCCCGGAGAAGGCACAGTTTATCGTGATCTTCAACCTCAACACCCTGACCACCATCGGAAACACCAAGAACTCTCTCATCGGGGTCAGTCTCTTTTTACTGATGCTCACTAAACAACACTCACACAGCTAGTAACGGTATGATCACTTGTTGTATCACTGAGGCTAAAGGCTGAGACAGCTGCTTACCGAACATATGAACTGGCTTGGTTGCCTCAAGAAAAAGATGCAGGCCCTTCCTGTTACATAGTCTAGTTACCACCTGAGTGAACCTGGAAATGTTTAGGTCCCCAAAGCATATGTTAGAAATGAATAGTAGTGTCCCCTGCACATAGAAACTGCTGGATGCTAAATTGCATATGTTGGACAGTTTTGGAGTGGTTTTGGGGGTTATTGAGGATGCAAAACTTACGCCCCAAAAAAACACACTTATAAGGGTACCTATGTTTGGTTTTGGTTTCATTATGGATTTAAAATGTTTCTATGAAGATTTCCTGTCCCTCCACATTCCACAACACTATCAACCCCCTCTTTCAGTTCTGTAGTCTGGCTATTTTAGCGTCCGCTAATACTCTTGAGTATGGCGACCAATCAATAATGACAACCTGTGCCCGTTACGCAGCTCACTTGAGCCTTGTTGGACCTGATCATACTGTCACTCTGCCTTTTACTGTAAACAGAGACTATGGACTGCAGTGTAGTTAATATGCTTTACTGATGCATCTAAAAAAGGGCATTGAATCCAGTTATAACCAAGTGAAAGTGAAATGCTGTATCACTAAACGCATTGTGGTGTTATTGTCCCGATGAACTGTTACATGGCCGTGTGTTTATTGTTGGAGTGTCTTCTGTCTCTGAAGATGTGGGCGTTGTCTCCTACGGTCTTCACCCTGCTCAGTCAAGATATGACGCTGGTCCACGCTGAGTTGACTGTCTTCTACCCTGCCATCCAGTATGCTGCGCTCTACACCCTGTACTCCCACTGCACCAGGTAACACTAACAGTAACACTCACACTCACACTCACACTCACACTCACACACACACACACACACACACACACACACACACACACACACACACACACACACACACACACACACACACACACACACACACACACACACACACACACACCAA